TTTATATCGCATGAATTTGGTAGAAAACTAGCTTTGCATGTTGATAGACTAGATGATTCTTTATTAGTCGAAGTTGCTAGTGGCAAGTTTGTACCTGTTAGCCATCGTATGAAAAACATCTTAATCGACCTTAATGGGAATAAGTTTCACGAAGAATTATTACCTATCGAACTTAATGGTTTCAACATCGTGTTGGGAATGGATTGGCTTAGCGCCAATGATGCCGAAATTTTATGCAAGAAGAAGATAGTTAAAGTGAACCCGCCTGGAAAAGATTCGTTTATGGTGTATGGGGACAAACATCGAGTGAATTCTGGAATCATTTACCTAATGAAAGCCAGAAAGTGTTTAACCAAGGGATGTACATCATATTTAGCATTCGTGATTGATGCTAAGAAGGAAAAGAAGGTGATGCAGAGTATTCCTGGGGTGTGTGATTATCCGGAAGTATTTCCCAAAGATCTTCCTGGATTACCACCTGATAGACAAGTGGAGTTCCGAATTGACTTGTTACCAGGAACCACGCCAATTGCAAAAGCACCTTATCGATTAGCACCAACGGAGATGAAGGAGCTGACGATGCAACTTCAGGAGTTGTTGGACAAAGGTTTCATTAGACCTAGTTCATCACCCTGGGGAGCTCCGGTGTTATTCATGAAGAAGAAAGATGGAAGCATGAGGATGTGCATTGATTACCGAGAGCTGAACAAGGCAAAAATAAAGAATAGATATCCTTTGCCAAGGATTGATGACCTGTTTGATCAATTGCAAGGTTCGAGCTATTTCTCGAAGATCGATCTTAGGTCAGGATATCATCAGCTGAAAGTAAGAGAGCAGGATATAGAGAAGACCTCATTCAGAACTAGATATGGACACTACGAGTTCTTGGTTATGTCATTTGGACTAACCAATGCTCCGGCAGCATTCATGGATTTAATGAATAGGGTTTGTAATCCGTTCCTTGATAAATCCGTGATAGTGTTCATAGACGACATTCTGATTTACTCAAAAAGCCAGGAGGAGCATAGCAGACACTTGCGAGAAGTGTTAGAAGTCTTGAAGAAGGAGAAGCTGTATGCTAAGTTCTCCAAATGTGATTTTTGGATTCGTGAAGTCCAATTCTTGGGTTACGTGGTCAACTAAGAAGGGATAATGGTTGATCCAACGAAGATCGAAGCCATGATGAAGTGGGAACAACCGAAAAGTCCCACGGAGATCCGAAGCTTTTTGGGATTAGCCGGATATTACCGAAGGTTTATCCAAGGATTTTCTTCGATCGCTACTCCGTTGACAGCTTTGACCCACAAAGGAGCTACTTATGCTTGGAATGATAAGCATAAAGAAGCATTCGAGAAGCTAAAGAAGAAGCTATGCGAGGCACCGATACTTTCTCTACCCGATGGAGTTGAAGACTTCGTTGTTTATAGCGAGGCGTCTGGGGTTGGATTGGGTTGTGTTTTGACCCAAAGAGAAAAGGTGATAGCATATGCGTCTCGACAGCTTAAGGAGCATGAAAAGAATTACCCGACTCATGATTTGGAGTTGGCAGCGGTAGTTTTCGCTTTGAAAATATGGAGGCATTACCTCTATGGCACGTAGTGCAAACTTTTCACTGATTATAAGAGTCTCCAATACCTCTTTAATCAGAAGGAATTGAATATGAGCCAACGCCGCGGGCTGGAATTACTTAAGGACTACGACTGTGAGATACTTTACCATCCCGGTAAAGCTAATGTTGTTGCTGATGCTCTCAGTCGGAAGTCAATCTTGAAAGGAAAAGGCCAAGAGCGTTGAGAATTGAAGTCGTCTCGACTATTTTAGAAAGTATAAAGAAAGCTCAAAGCGAAGCTTCTGAGAAGAATGACCGGAAGGAGGAACGTTTGGGCAAAACGTTGGTGTTTGGTACAAACGGTTATGGATTGAAGGTGTTCCAAAGATCGGATTTGGATACCTAAGACAGGAGGAATCAGAGATCTTCTGATGGAAGAAGCTCACAAGACGATATACTCGATTCATCCTGGTAGCACTAAAATGTATAGGGACCTGAAACCCTACTACTGGTGGCCGACGATGAAGCTTGATGTTGCAAAGTATGTGGTCGAGTGTGTGACTTTTGCGAGAGTCAAGACACAACATCAGAAACCGTATGGGAGTTTAGAACCTTTACCTATGCCTATGGGTAAGTGGGAAGACATTGCTATGGATTTTGTCACTAAACTGCCCAGAACAAAGAATGGTCACGACATGATTTGGGTGGTCGTCGATCGATTCACTAAGAGTGCGCATTTCATAGCAGCCAGGGAGAAATGATCTATGGAAAAGCTTGCGAATTCTTATGTGAAGGAAATTGTGAGACTTCACGGTGTTCCGCTAACAATTGTGTCGGATCGTGATAGTCGTTTCACCTCAAGGTTTTGGAAAAGTCTACAAGAGGAGATGGGTACCAAGTTATATTTAAGTACAACTTACCATCCGCAGACCGATGGTCAGAGTGAAAGAACGATACAAACACTTGAAGATATGCTGAGAGCATGTACCTTGGAATTCCTAGGTAATTGGGATGAACAATTACCATTGGTAGAATTTTCCTATAACAATAGTTTTCACTCGAGCATTAAGATGGCACCTTACCAAGCTTTGTATGGACAAAAGTGTCGTACGCCGTCTTGTTGGCTTGAGGCTGGGGAAAAGCAGTTTATGGAACCGGAGATGGTTCTCAAACTGCTGAAAAGTTGAAAATAATTAGGGATTAGGGGAAAGAATGTTAGCGGCTCAGGATCGTCAAAAGAGC